CAAGTCAGAGAGTGGGCATGGGCCACGGAGGGAGGAGCAAAGGTTGAGCAAGAGGCAGGGATGTGATCCCAGCTCCTCAGGGCTGAAGGAGGAGAGTTGTGTGAGCCCAGGAGTTCAGAGCCAGTGTGTCCAACACAGTGAGAGTCCATCTCATCCCTCAGCCATAACCGTTGTTGTTCAGCTGTGGGGTAGTCTCCTTCATAAATGTTTTTCAGCCTCGGGGTGTAGCTTGGAGGCAGAGCCCGTGCTTAGCATGAGGGAGCCTCTGGGTTCCGTCCCCCAAAACAAAAGAGATCTTTTTTCTTTTAAGAGATGGGATCTCACTGCATTGCCCAGGCTGAACTTGAACTCCTGGGCTCAGTGCCTCAGACTCTGGAGCACCTGGGACTATGGGTGCATACCAGCATGCCTGTTTTCCAGAAGTAGATGTCAGTGTATCCACCAGCATATACAAGTCACGTGCTGCATAACAACATYTCTTTGGAGAACACAACACATGTATGACTATGGTCCCATGGCTTACATTGCCTAGTTACACCATACCTGCCTTAGATTGTGTCCAGTGACAACACTACCCACTGATGCATTCTCAGGACGTATCCCTATTGTTAAGTGACACAGGATTGTATTTTTTTTTTAATACAAATAGGTTGAAACTGGCCATAGGTACTGTTTTGCTTCTTTTTCTACTTTGCTAACATCCTTTAGAAAAAAATGCAGCCTCCCAGCAGTCGTTCATTTTATGGGTGTACTATATTTACCTAACCAATCCCTTTTGACAGACACTGGGATTCTTTCCAGTGTTTGTGTGTCCCTCTCCCTCCACTCCTTTTTTTTTTTTTCCTCTTATGAACAGTGCTTTGGGCACCACCTGTGCAATTATTTCCTTGTTTATTCTTGGTTGTGCTGGCTGTGGAATCCAGAGCCTCATTCATGCTAGACAAGCGCTCTTCCACAGAGCTACACCCCAGCCCTGCATATATTTCTTTCTTTCTTCTTTTTTTGCATTCTCAATTATTTTATTTTTATTTATTTATTTTTAAATATTTATTTTTTTAACCTTAAATGGACACAATATCTTTATTTTATTTTTATCTGGTGCTGAGGATTGAACCCAGTGCCTCACGCATGCCAGGTGAGCGCGCTACCACTTGAGCCATATCTCCAGCACCTCTCAATTATTTTAATGGACATTTTGGAACTAAACATGGTACATTGCCCGGTGACAACATAAGATGATGGTGATATCATTAATAAAGTCAATTGATACTACATATCTGAAATTATAGAGGGGATTTGCTTCCCAACACTTTTGCATCACTATTTCATTTGAAGTCCCCTTCCTGCTAACATACGCTGTCTCCAGATCATGTTTCCAGCTCCATTTTATAGATTCTAACGAAGATTCCAAGACAATGATTTGACCCACGACTCTCACATATCTGATTCCTAATTTACTGCTTCTTCTACCCCTTTCAACAAAAATATGATTCAAGTATCAGTGATGTGTCTTTCGCTTCTTCTATTCCTGAGTATAACTGCTCTATCTTTTCAACCAACAATAACTATATAAGTAATTTAATGTGGCTTTTATAAAAAGAGAAATGGGACAAGGTAGTAAATAACTCTGCTTATATTTCTTGAGAACTTGCTTGGTCAAAGGTTATAAACTACTGACATTTTTTACTTTTGAAAAACAGACTTTATTTTTTAGAGTAGTTTTTGGGCTGATAGAAAAATTGAGCAGAAAATACTGGAATTTCTACATATCAACTTTGTCCCCACAACTTGTGCAGTGCGCGTCCCCCCACCTCAAACCAATGTCGGCATCTTGCACTGAGTGGCACATTGATGCCAGGACACATCCTTATCACCCAGAGTTCTTTTTTTTTTTTTTTTTTTTTTTTTTAGTACCAGGGATTGAACTTAGGGGCACTCAGCCACTGAGCCACATCCCCAGTCCTATTTTTTTTTTTATTTAGAGACAGGGTCTCACTGAATTGCTTAGCTTCTCACTTTTGCTAAGGCTGGCTTTGAACTCGAGATCCTCCTATCTCAGCCTCCTGAGCTGCTGGGATTATAGGCGTGGCCACTGCACCAGGCTCAGAGTATATCTTTATTGCCCTAAAAATCCTCTGTGCTCCACCTATTCAGCCCCTCCTCCTTCCTCACAGATTTTGGCAACCATTGGTCTTTTTACTCTCTCCGTAGTTCTGCCTTTTCTACAATGTCATAGAGTCATACAGTACATAGCCTTTTTCAGATGGGCTTCTTTCAAGTAGTCATGTTTATTTAAGGTTTCTCTGTGTCTTTGTGGTTCGATGGCTTACTTCTTTCTAGCACCGAATAATATTTCATTGTCTGGATGCACCACCATTATTGAGGAACATCTTCGTTGCTTCCAAATTCTCGTGATTTTGTGACTGATTGACATTAATCCCTTGTAAAGGCTGAATTACTGCACTCCTACCAGACACAGAAAGGGAGTGCCTTGCTTCCTGCTGGGGTGGGTAGGGTCTCTCATTTTTTAGGACTGAAGCTCAAGCAGAATATCCCAGGAGAGCCAGTGAGTGATTGTGTGCGTAGCCTGCTGGCTGTGCTCCTGAAAATGGGAGCTGGACCCTGGATCAGGCTAAGGCAGGTGTCATGGGGCCCTTTTCCTCCCTTGGGGGTAGGGGCTGCCTTGGCCTGCCCACCCACTACAGAACTGCCCTGCAGGTCTCTTTCCGCTACCATTGCCAGCTGTACTCTGAGTGGAGAAGGACCAACCAGAAAGTCCGCCTGAAGATCCGGGACACAGATGGCTCCGAGGATTCCCACCACTCCCCGCTGGCAGCTGGACTCCTGAAAAAGGTGGCAGAGGAGACGCCTGTGTGAAGGCCAGGCTGAAGGGGCCCTGTGGCAGAGATAGGCCAGAGGCAGCTGGTGATGCCCTGGTGTTTGGAAGGACAGAAACTGCCTGACCCTTCCTGCATGGCCAGAATGCTTCCTAGGCCAAGAGCCATGCCAAGTGGAGCCTATTCTATGATCCTATGTGAACATATTTTTAGGTTTTTTGCACACTGTTGTTCATGACAAGAACAGATGGACATGATCCTGAGCTTCAGATGGAGCAGGCACCCTGATCTCAAATTTGAGGTCCGTTTGGCACCTCCTGGGCCAGCAGCTGTGGCCATGCATCAAGGGTGCCCACTGGGCTGGAAGGTCCCAGCTTCTCTTGCTTCCTTGCACCTGGCAGGCTCGCTCTCCTGGCACCCTTGACTTTATGAAGTTGCACTGCGTTTCAAAAACCCATCCCTGAATGAATAAAAGGAGCCCTTGCTGGACAAAATGGACTCGTTACTTAAATTTCTAAGTCACTCAAAGTGAAAGACTCCATGGAGGTAAAGAATAAACAATGCTTGGCTTATTTTGAGGGATCCATTATGAAGCCCACAGGAAGAGGCAAAGTCTSATTTTTTAAGTGAAGAGCAGGTAGCAGGGTTATGTAATAAATGATTTTAAGAATCTATATGAGGCTGTGGCTGTGGCTCAGTGGTAGCTCATTTGCCTGGCATTGTGAGTTTGATTCTCAGCACTGCATATAAATAAAAATAATAAAGATCTATCAAGAACTAAAAAATATTAAAAAAATACATGTGGACCTGGGGCATAGCTCAGTGATAGAGTACATGCTTAACATGTGCAAGTCTTGGGTTACATTCTCCAGCACCACCAAAAAGAAAAAATAACAGTTAAGAACAGTTTCCACTCATTTTGCATCTCCCGTGCTTCAGATATTATACTGGGCCCTTTATGCTCACTAAGTAATCTTGATACTATCCRTACTTATGAGAGGTCACCATGGATGAGGTCCAGTTCTAAGCCTTCTCAGAAATCCTCCCTTTCTCCGATTCTTGCTATCACCCTCTGGGGTAGGAATAGCTATTATCTCCATTTTACAGGTGAGAAGACTGAAGCCCAGTGCAAGAAAACCTTTGAGGTTCTATAGCCTTAGGAAGCTGAGTTGGGAACCCTAGGTCTGCAATGCCTCAGTGCTGAGTCTTGTGCCCCACCTTCCATAATGACTCAGGAAAGAAGCAGAATGTGGTCATGCTAATAACAGCACCTATTTCTGAGCGCTTTTTGCATGCCAAGCTTTATACATTCCAGGGCTCAACAGTGGCCTGCATTTAATGCTCAGAGAAGCCCCTAAATATGGGTTCTCTGGAGTCTCTTATTAACTCTACTTTCAGATGAGCAAATTGAGCATCAGAGCAATGGGGTCACTGGTTCAAGGTCAGACATCCCTGATGGATCTAGTACAGTGTCTGGCCCTTCTTATTGTGTTCTGCACAAATTCCTGCCTGATACATAGCTCACCCACAAAGAAAAACCTTTTCTGTCCTGACTGGGAGGGCAAGGGGAAGCTAGTTTTGCAAAGTGCATAGACCAAGAGSCTGTAACTTGCTTGGCCTGTAGAACAGAGTAGAGGACTTTGTGGCTGGAACAGTGTGATTAAGGGGCAGGGATCAGAGAGGTAGGCAGAGTATCCTAGGAATGGGTGGGTGGTGCGCTGGTGGTCTGCAGAAACAAAGGATCACTTCCAAACACATTAGCTCTGCTGGTCCTTGAGGGTGCCCCTGGCCTCAGCAATCGGCATAGTCTTGCACCTATTTCTCCTCAGGCCAGCTTTGGAGTGTGGTGCCCCAGGTATGCCAAGAAGAGAAAAAAGCCTTCGTACTTCTCTTCTAATAGTTTAAATTACATCGAGAAGAAAGTTTTAATGTGGTGTTAGCCTGTCTCTAAAAAGTCCTCTAAACCTTCCAGGAACCTCCAGACAGAACTTTCGCTGTCCCTCTCCCCAGCTCTGGTTACAGAAAGCTGGGCGTGACTAGGTCCAGGTGTGTACACGTAGGTGTGAAGGGGAGACAGATGCTTCCCCTACAGGACTTGGAGCGCATGCGGAACGTCGGGTAAGTGTTTTAACTCAAACTTGTTGCGTGAATGAATGAATCCAAAGCGGCCGGTCTGCGCCTGTGCCTGGCGGGGGCGTGGCCTGGCCAGAGGCGTGGCCCGGGGCAGGAGGGGAGGAAGCGGGAGCGGATCGTGTCGCGCGCAGGCGTTACTGGTCGCTCCGAGTCACGTGAGCGCGCAGGCGCAGCGCCGCGCAGCCCGCTCCCTCACACAAAGCCCAGACGCGGAGAAAATGGCGGCAGGGGTCGAAGCGGCGGCAGAGGTGGCAGCGACGGAGCCCAAAATGGAGGAAGAGAGCGGCGCGGCCGGCGTGCCGAGTGGCAACGGGGCTCCGGGCCCGAAGGGGTAAGTATTCCATGGGTCGTTGTCCCGGGGCGAGCTCCCTCGGGGCGGCCGGCAGCGGCTCCGTTAGGTCTGTTGGCGGCCTTTCCTCGGCGCGGCCTCGTCCCTGGACTTCCCCTGCCGAGTGCGGAGGTGGCTTAGGCTACGGGGAGGGGAGCCGCGCGGCCCTAGGAGCGCTGAAGGATCACCCCCTACCGGCAGACGTCTCCACTCCTGCCCTTCCCCGGGCCGGGTCCGACGTCGCTAGCGAGGCCTCAGGCCGGGTCGCTGCGCGCGGGCGTGATGGCGCGGGCCCCGGAGCCGGAGAAGCGCGGAGTCCGAGGCCCGCCGCGACGCCCGCCTGTTGGTGACCTTGGACGCGTGGTTTCACACCCCCCCCCCCCGCCGCCCTACCCCGGGTCTCAGTTTCCCGACCCGTGAAGTGGGGGGAGGGGAGGGAGTGCGCGCGCAGGGCCTCGCGCGGTCATTCCCGGTAAACGGCAGCCGAGCGGGGGAGGTGTCGCCAAGGGCCGCGCGGCCGGGGCCAGCTCTTGCCCCCCCCTCCCCCCTCCAGCGCGCAGACCGGGTTCCCAGGCCGGCGGGCAGAGTCCCTCGGAATTGGCTCTGGCTTTGGCTGGAGGCCGCCGCCACCGCTCCGCGCGCCTTCTCCCCAGGTGCGCAGTAGGTATTAGTAGAAACCAGCAAAAAGCGGGAGAGAAACCTCTTTGGTGTTTCAGGGGAAAATGTTCCGTTTTAGTGGGGAATCGGCCACTTCTAGACTCCCGTCACGTTTTCGAGTCCTATTTCGGGATTGTTTAGAATCCTTGTTTTTCCAAAGTTTCTTTAAAGGAGTAGAGCATCAACCTGTGCCCCGATGAAACGCACTCATTCAGATTACAATCACTTGACAAACATGGAGGATGGGGAGGACTTAGGCACCCATTGGATTTCCATTTCCGCCATTTATAAGATTTGCTGTTTTCACCATTTTCAGGTGTGCATTTCAGTGGAGTTGAGTACATTCGTGATGTTGTGCAACTTCCACTGAATCCAGAACTTTCTCATCACCCCRAATATAAATGTAGCCATAAAACACTAACACAATATTCCCCTCCTCCCCTTCCACACTGTCCCTGATAATGCCTATTTTGTTTCTCTATGAATTTGTCTTCCCTCCACTTTTTGACCTGTGAGGCTTAATGAGTTTAGGAGGATCGAAAGTGAAGTAATTAAGCACTTAACCTTAGTGAGCATTCACCATATAAATCTGGAGAAAAATCCAGATTCTTTCTCTTTGATGAGAAAGAATGATGGGCAGAAACAAAATAATTATACTATGGTTAACTGGTCCTGTAGAAATCTAGAGAAAAACGTATATATCCCCAGCACTTTACTTTGGAAGCTGAATAGCCATGCATTCATTTCTTTCAACTTTCTCCCCCTTTCCYACTGAGCTACATYCCAAGTCCTTTTTATTTTTAATTTTGAGACAGGGGTCCCACTAAGTTGCTGAGTTGAATCCCCAATCACAGGGATTACAGGCTTGCATCACCCACCACATCTGGCATGACAAMAGTTGTTGAAATTAAACTCTTTAGAGGCCCATATCCAGAGGTGTTATGCAGRTTGACTTTTTTTWAAATAAACTTTTTAAAATTGTTGATAGATCTTTATTTTATTCATTTATTTGTGGAGCTGAGAAACGAACCCAGTGCCTCAAACATGTGAGGCAAGTGCACTATCACTGAGCCAGAACCCCAGCCTAAGGATTGACATTTTTGTAGTATAGTAATTAATTAGGCTGTTAGAAGATGATCAGTGAGGAGCATGAAGGAACCCTCCCCCACCTTTGGGAGCCTGATGTCCTTCCCCAGGAAGAGAAAAAAATGATTGAAGAGAGGCAGAGAAGACTGTTGAGCAAAGACCAGGGATTTGGCTATGTGCTTTATTTTATTTTTTCAGGGCTGAGGACAGAACTCTGGGCCTTGTGAGTGCTAGGCAAGTACTCTGCCACTGAGCTAAATCCCCAACCTCTATGTGCTTTATTTTTTAATTTTTTTAATATTTATTTATTTTTAGTTCTTGGTGGACACAACATCTTTGTTGGTATGTGGTTCTGAGGATCGAACCCGGGCCGCACGCATGCCAGGCTAGCGCGCTACCGCTTGAGYCACATCCCCAGCCCTATGTGCTTTATTTTTAAGAGTAATTTTTTTATGGTGTTAGGGGTTGAATCCAGGGCGCCATGCTTGCTAAATGGGCACTCATACTCCCAACTCTCTATACTTTATTTTTTAAAAACTGAAGTTAGGGCAGAAGGTTGGAGCACTGAGGGCCATCTGGTGGACACTGAATTGTAAGCTAAGGAATTGGGATTTTTACTTTGAAAGCCTTTAAGAGATGGGAGGAAAATAGAAGCTGCTCTTTTGACTTACCTCTGCACCAGTAGAGGGATGTGCTATAGATCAGAAAGGCAGTCAACAAGCTTGATAGAGGACCCTGTAGTAAATTGTTTTGAAGCATGTGAGATATGTGTCCTATTTATTTATTTTGGTACCAGAGATTGACCAGTGGTGCTTAACCAGTGACCCACATCCCCAGCTCTTTTTTTATTTTAGAGACAGGGTCTTGCTGAGTTGCTTTAGGACTTGTGAAGTTGCTGAGGCTAGCTTTGAATTTGGGATTTTCCTGCCTCAGCCTCCGGAGCTGCTGTGCCACTGTGCCCTGCAAGATATGTTCTATTTAGAGTCAGGATTTAGAATTAGATTATATAGGGGGGAAATAAGTAATGTGGTTTAGTTGTTTTTTTTTTTAAATTAAAGGTTATATACAGTATTTAATGTCAGTGACTTGACCTGCTTCCCTTCCTGATTGAATGGAATAGTTTTTTATTCTTTATTTTTTACTTGTTCTAAACAGTTATCAATGACAATAGAATGCATTTTGACATATCATACATAAATGGAATGTAACTTCTCATTCTTCTGATTGTACATGATGTAGAGTTACACCAGTTGTGTAATCACATACGCACATAGGGTAATAATGTACAATTCATTCTATTATTCTTACCCCTGTACTCTCTCCCTTCCCTTCACTCCCCTCTGTCTGATCCAAAGTACCTCTATTCTTCTCTAGTCCTTCCTCCCTATTATGTGGAGTAGTTGTTTTAAAAATAAGCATTAAGGGGCTGGGAATGTGGCTCAGGTGGTAGCGCGCTCGCCTGGCATGCGTGCGGTCCGGGGTTCGATCCTCAGCACCACATACCAACAAAGATGTTGTGTCCACCGAGAACTAAAAAATAAATATTAAAAATTCTCTCTCTTTCTCCTCTCTCTCTCTTTAAAATAAATAAATAAATAAATTTAAAAAAAAAATAAGCATTAATATTTAGCATGGATTTCTGAGGAGGTGCTGTTGGTGTTAATTCTGTTCTACATTGAGAAAGCTTTTGTTTGTTTTTGTGGTGCCTAGGGATTAACCCAAAGCCTTGAGTTTACTAGGCAAGCACTCTATCCCCCAGTGGGAGAACTTTTTTTAAACAATTAAGAAAACAAGTTGACCAGAGACTGTAGGTGAGACCATTTTGACATTAAGTCCTCTGCTGCTTCCTTAACACTACCACTTAACAGACATTTGAATTGTTTTATTTAACCCAGATTCTCTATCCTTTGTAATGTTGACTACTTTAAAAAAGTGATTTTAGGGCTGGGCTTTTAATTGCCTAGCAAGCATAAAAATAAATAAACAAAACAAAAATATTGTGTTCATGGGCAACTTAAATTTTTTTTTTTTTTGAAAAAATGATTGTATACTTGGTGAAAAGGATTTTTTTTTTTTTTTTTGGTGGCATTTGATTGAAACCAGGGGCTTTTCGACTGTTGAGCTGGTTCCCCAACCATTTTTAATTTTAATAGGGGGTTTTGCTAAATTGCCCATGCAGACCTTGAAATTGTGATTTTCTTTCTTACCACTCCAGAATTGCTGAGATTATGGGTATGACTGGGTTGGGACAAGGAATTTTTTTTCTGTACTGGGAATTGAATCCAAGGACATTTAACTACTGAGCGACATCCCCAGCCCTTTATATTTTATTTAGAGACAAGTCTTGCTGAGTTGCTTAAGGCCTGGCTAAGATGCTGAGGCTGGCTCAGCCTCCCAAGTTGCTGGGATTATAGGTGTGAACCACCGTGCCTGGTTGGGACAAGGAATTTTGAAGCACATCAGAGTGTTCTGGTTTAGAATGGGAGTTTTGGATTATTTGAATGCATGTTTCCAGAGTTTCACTTTGTCTTTTGATTTTATTCATTGCTGGGAAAAGAAATAATAGCCTGCAAATATTAGCTTGCTTTTTATTGTAGGGAGGATGTTTCTCAAATGGACTTTCAAATTATAATGATTTGCAGTCATAGGATTAAAAGCAGAGTTTCCCTTTGGTAATTTGCAATGGGTTCAATATCTAGGTTTCCTCAGCCAGGACTCTGGTTGGTATCAGTAGATGCAACATTAGAATCTATTACCTTCCCCCCCCCCCTTTGAATAACCTTTTATAAAGGTATAGCATACATATAGAAATGTGCACCAGTTACAAAAGCACAGCTCAATGAGTTTTCACAAATGGCACACAAGAGCTTTATTAATCTACTTTTAGTTACTGTAACAGAATCTGAAGCTTGAGTCTTCCATTCCCTTCCTTAACCCTCAAGAAAATTATTGGTAGGTAATTTTGTTATTGCAACAGTTACTGTGTGCCAGGTCTCTCCTTTTAACTTGTTAGGGAGTAACCTTCTTTTATGGATGAGAGAATTGAGGCCAAGTAAAAGACACAGTTACATTGGGGTAAAGACCTTGACATATGTCACTTGCAGTACTGCTCTTTAGGTATTTTGCTTTAAACATTTACCAGTTTTGCCTTTTGTTGGGCTGTTCTTTATTGATTCTCATGGCACTTGTGAGCTACCATGGATACAGTAGTTATGCTGGTTTTGCTGGTAAAGAACCAAGGGCTGGGGCTGGGGTTGTGG